ACTGTTGTGAAGAGATGGGTCCAGTGGTTGCAGCTAATTTTTTTGTTTACGCTGGAAATCAGCGATAGACAGTGCAGTATACGATGCCTGCCAGTTTGGTTGATTTACATGTAAGTATTGGTGATGTACAACCTTGCTCATTAGGCTGCGGTTCACGAGCTTTCTTTCTGTTTTCCATCCATGTGGGCGAGATTGCTCAGTGATTAGAGCACGAATTTACTGACCAGAAGATCCGTGGTTCAAACTCGACCTTTGCATCCCGACTTCTCCAGTCTAGAGTCGGGTAAACTGGCAGCATCCCAGCACTCGTGCTTCCTTCGGGTGGCATGGCAGCTAGACACCGAAAGGGCTTTACAACCGAACGATTATTATCCGTAGAAATTATCATGAATCCCTACCTTCGGAGAATCACTGTCCCTGGAACTTCCATAACGTGCATACTACAGCCAGTACCTTTCAACCAGTCACAAAAACAATGCTTCAGAAAAAGGCATTAGGTGAACAGGACCTGGATGTCCCTGATATAACAAACTTTGTACAATAATGCGATCAATTTTAAAATGGATGAAGGGATCATACTGAACAGAAAAATAACAGCTTACAGGTGCTACGAGCCCGTTTATCTGATCAACTACCACACGGTCAGTATTTAGCCCATTATAAAATCTATGCCTGGCGGATTCAGAGTTCGGCGGAGCGTAAGAATATGCTATGGACAGGGGGCAATGGATCACACTCTCTCGAAATTCCTTCAAAGAAGCTGTCAAACGAACCACACAGGTGGCTGTCAATGAGTATTCAATCAATCAGAGACGCTCCCACTCGATGGATAAAGACAATACCCACTTCAGCAGCAGCCTCCGCGACACTAGAGGTATGCAGCCGGAAGAAGGAAGATAACGAGGGTGTATCCAATCTAATTATATTCTTGTGTCCTGGGCCCCTGTTTCTGACAAACAGCATACGCCAATGAAAAGGGAACCCAGCGACTGAGCATGAGCCGCCTGTCATCCTGCTTGCTTCAATATGCGCACAATAAAGGCAGCTACGCATACCAGCATTCGAGGTTTGAAAGCGGACACGACGGTGTTTACGGTTGTCACACAATATGGGGATGAAGACGCTGCAGCTGAATGGGGTGCAATACAATCTTAAAGCTGGAATCTGCAGAGGGAGTACCCATACTAGGAGGTCGTAGGGTAGAATAGGGAATGAGTGTGAGAGAACTGGCGTCACCGGTAGCACGTTTCCGCTTACCAGCCCTTTTGTATGAGATGAGTCACCCAATTCGGCCATCATCATCATCATCAATACCCATACTGGGCGTAGGGTAGAATAGGGAATGAGTGTGAGAGAACAGGCGTCACCGGTAGCACGTTTTCGCTTACCAGCCCTTTTGTATGTATGGAGTCACCCAATTTGGCCATCATCATCATCATCATCAACGACAGCATGACATCAGTGTTCAACACCAATGCTTCACTGCCGTACAACCATGACTTATTTGGAAGCCTTATTGTAAAGAAAACAATAAAGGTAGATGGGGGAGGGACTTAGTGCTAGCTTAACACAATCATTCCGAGGTGCCTACACC